GCGCACAAGCGGGCAACTATCCTCGATGGAGGAGTCGTTAAGTGTCATAAGCCTGCAGTATCATGGTAATGCAACTCCCTTTGCATGAAGTATCCGTTTCTTCTATTTTTTTCTTATTTCGCTGATAAAGAATTAGTGATGGACTTCGAAACGTCAGGCGAATAAAAGTCTTGTCCCAGCGATTGCATGATCTTTTTCCCAAGTGTTTTTCATATCGCAGCCTTGCTCTAAAGCAGGAGCTCAGTCTCGTTCATAAGCGTTACAAATTCCTTTGGGATGACAGTTCTTCTGACTCGTCAAAAAACGGCTTGTTCCGGAGTGTTGTACTGCTGGATGTGCTCTAGTCATCCGTGAAAATATTGCACGCAAAAACGGAATGTTCAGCAAACTGGCATTAACAACAACCTACAGTCTACTCTTTTTGAAAATTAGTAACTGCGGTTGCAATTTAAGTTGTGTAAAAATTGTACTTTTGTCTTATTTTGTTTTTTAGTTTGTGTATTGTTTGAAACGCATAATTATTTGGGTTTGTGACGAGAGCAATAAGATCTGAAGCTGTCTGATGTTATATATTATTCTTCAAACAGCACAAGTAAAGTGAAATTCCGACTGATACTTGCAGAGAACACGATTATATAACTAGGTATTTTTTTCAAAGCCAGACAATTAAAAACACAAAGTGTGCTTTTACCGTATTTGCATTTGGTCCCAGTTCCGCTGTTCATTGTCAGTTTGCGTACATTCTTTTCGGGTTGAAAATAGATGATATACAACTTTGGTGCGAAAAGGCAAACCAAAGTGACCGTGGCACTGAGACTAACTGCTACTGAAAGAGTTGAAACTTGAATCTAAAAAGACATAAACGAGCATCATAATCATCAGACAGACTGCAACCTGTTTCCGCCTTAGGAATATGTAGATGGACAAAGATAGGACTTGGAGCAAACATACAGGCTAACATTCAGACATTATTCCCTGCCATTATCCGTAAAGTCGTTACATAGTCCATGCTGTTTAGGTTCAAACAGTCTCTCCTGAAAACAGGAAACAGCATCTACATTACAGCCGAATTCCGGCGATGCCTGATAACTGCATGCCGCGTGCAGCAAGACGCACTGGCAGTTCCCTTCGTGGGAATTGTTTCCACGCCAAAGTTTGCATTTGCTTAATTGACCAAAAACACATCTGCTAACAATTTGCGCTAATCTGGCTGGTCAGATGCGACGCAAGTTTAAGCAAAGGTAGCAAAACATCAATTTCGTTAGATTGTTTCTAGAAGACGTTGAAAACAACAGCAAAAAAGCGGGAGAGGTGTGTGACCTATTTTCGTTGTAAGCAGCGTAAGTGTCAGTAAGATATTTGTTATAAGTCACCCTCTTTTTAATGAAGTTATCCGCGTAGACGACTGAGTGTTATATCAAATTATGCTTCATGCGTAAACATTTCACTAATTCACGTTTGTTTAGCTTATGTGACCACGCAGTCCAAGGCAGGATATGACAGTGAATAAGCAGAAGAAAAGGAGGTATAAAAGGTAACTTCAAAGACAAGCTGACACGGATACTGTAATTTGTGGGAATTTATGTAAGCAAACTGGAAGTAAGTCTTAATATCCAGCTCCATCGACGGCAGTAAAATATCCACTGGCTTAACATAGTAAACTATTGAAAATTTTATTAAGTTGGTGCGTTTTGAAGAAACCTAAGATCTGGTTATTATGTTGTAACACAGACTGTGAAAGAACTTATTGATTATAAGAACTGAAGCGTTCGGGTAGTCAGTTTTTTGTTTGCTGGGCGAGAAATAAGAGATACTGAAAAGCCTCTAAGAATGCTAAATTGTAGTAAATACGTGGAATTTATGATAGGACGATAAACGCGTGAAAAGTTCAAAAGGTCACTTTGCACCGGCTTGACAAAGGACTATTCCCATGGATGAACAGTCACTAAAGAATATGGAGGTTAAATTGGTAACTTCCGAATAACTTGCAGTCATTACACCTATTTAAACTTTTCCGTTCGTCCAAAAAAGGAGAAGTGATTTGAATGTTTGTCTGTAGGCGCACCCAGATTTTGCATAGTTTTGAGCGATTTGTATCTGAGACTAAAACGCATTTTTGTAATATTTTAGTGCTGCACCTATATGCCACAAAACAAGTAAACTAGATTAAGTACTATCAAAACTCTCCGCAACACACGGTGCATAAACTAGTGTCCTTAATTTAACTTAACTTGTGTCAATGAATGCATTGGTTAGTTAGCTGAACATTTTCGGCCAAAACCCCTTATATTGAATTTTCCCGCCCCTTGGCAACAGAAACAGGCATGAATTAAATTCAGCTC